TGTCCATCAGCGTAGTAAGATGCTATAGAATCATTACTTGTCTTCTCTGTATATACTGCCTTCCCCATGTTGTCCCCACCACGCTACATTATGTGTCCTAATCATGATGTCCCCTTTCCCCCCTTATCCCTCCCTTCCCACCCATCCTCCCCAGTCCCTTTCCCTTTGGTAACTGTTAGTCCATTCTTGGGTTCTGTGAGTCTGATGCTGTTTTGTTCCTTCAGTTTTTCCTTTGTTCTTATACTCCACAGATGAGTGAAATCATTTGATACTTGTCTTTCTCTACCTGGCTTATTTCACTGAGCATAATACCCTCTAGCTCCATCCACGTTGTTGCAAATGGTAGGATTTGTTTCTTTCTTATGGCTGAATAGTATTCCATTGTGTATATGTACCACATCTTCTTTACCCATTCATCTACTGATGGACATTTAGGTTGTTTCCATTTCTTGGGTATTGTAAATAGTGCTGCAATAAACATAGGGGTGCATATGTCTTTTTCAAACTGGGCTGCTGCATTCTTAGGGTAAATTCCTAGGAGTGGAATTCCTGGGTCACGATGCTGTTCTTATAGACATAAATATACCTTGTTCTTTTTAATGACTGTATGATCATTCCATTTTAAGGATGTGCCATTATGTTCTCAGTTGGTCATTTGTCTTTTCCCTTTAATCAGGATGCTTTCTGCTATGCAGAAATACTTGACACTTATCTGGTAAAGTAAATCAATTATGTTATTTATGGCCTCAGAGTTCTGTAACATGATCAAGACTTCACTGGGTCCAAGATTACATTTTTTTTTTCTTATTTTCCTCTGGTATTTTTATGGCTTCTATCTTTTTACATTTAAATCTTTGACCCATCTGGATCCCTCTGGAATTTATTTTGGTGGAGATAGGAACTGGATATTAGATTTTTTCTTTCCAGATGGCCAGCCAGTTTCCTCAGCACTATGTGTTTGATAATCCACCTTTTCCCTACAGACTGAGATGTCACCGTCACCACCTTCTGGATTCCAATGTGTGTCTAGTGGCCTTGCACTGTGAATGCTCACCTGGCCACCTCCAGCCTCGTGACAAGCCAGGCAAGGCAGCTAGAAGCTATCCCTGCTCCCAGGCCCAACAGGGCTCTCCACCCCCCACAGAGCTTCCTCTAGGTCTGGAAAAAGCCTTTATTCCAGAAGGGCCCTTTTTAAGGCATGGCACTGGGCTAATGCATCTCTATAAAGTGATGTTCCTTCCCAAGAAGGGAGAGTCACCACCTAGAAGGGTGTCTGGCCCACAGCTTTGCACCCTGTGGTCAGACCATGTGCCCCAATCCCTCCAAGCTTGAGCAAGACAGTTCAGAGCAGCGGCCCAGGGCCCAGGCCAGCTCCAAGCCACAGGTGCAGGCTGAGAAAGGCCGTAGGCAGAGTGTGAAGTGGAGGCAGGGCAGGAGGGTCACCTACAGTCCCTCAGGCAGGCTGCAGAGCCTACAGTGTTGCAGTGGGCCCAGCTTCCTGCCTCCTGGCCTTACCCACCTAGTTTCCTCCATCCTTCCCCGCTGGATACTGGCCCTCACACCTGAGACGCTGGCCTGGGCTAGAACCTGTGCTGAGGGCTGGGATGAGGCTGGTGAGCAAGCACACAACCGGTGGACATGTGTTCCATGGAGGCAGGCGTCAGGGCACCTTGCAGAGGCCGGCTTAGTCAGAGGGAGCTACAAGCAACACTCGCCCCGAGCTCTGACCAGGAGTAGGAGCTGCCCAGAACCCAGGGCAGGAAGGCCGACTACGAGAGCAAAAGGCTTGCATGAGGGACCCCAGAGAGGAGCAGCACGTGACGCAGGTACCAAGGACAAAGGCCCAGGAGGCTTCCCACCGCAGATGCAAAGACTGGAGGGGGCCATCCAGGGGGACGAGGTCCTGGCGCCGTGGTGAGGCCACCCACCCAGCAGGGGAGGACTGGCAGAGTGAGTAGAGGGTGCGCCCCTGGGTACCTGCCAGGCTCTCTTGGAGCTCCTGGGCTCGACTCCAAGTCTAATATAACAACTCTGATGCTCCATTTTCTCATCTATAAAATGGGGGTAATGCTGTGGCAGCCCCTGACAGTGGTGGGGAGTGTCCCCGGGGCCCACGTGAATCCTCACAGCAGTGAGCCCTACTCACTGGGTGTAGACGGACGGTGGCAAGCTGGGCTACCCAAGTCATGCACACACACTCATTCAGCCAGAACATTCTCTAGGCATTTTACTAATTTCATCCTCACAGCATCACTTCGGAGCAGGGTCTATCTCCATCACAGATTTCAGCACCTCCCCTGGGATTCACCTGCGTCACAAGGTCCCCTCTCCTTCTGGAAGATGCTCTAGGATTGGGGGTAAAAAGTCAAATTGCACCTGTTAACCCAGAGAGATGAGTTCCTCGCTCCCTTCCCAGAAGTGGGACCAGCCTGTACCAGGTTCTTGGCAAACACTGGCTCCTTTGTAAGTCAGTGCTTCCCTGCAGCAGCGCCCACCTGCACACGCTAGTGGGACCCTTGCACAGAGGGACCAGCCTGTTCACATGGCCAGGAGGCCTGCTGGGGAGGGCCTGGTGCTGCCCCTCAGGTGCTGCCAGTCCCTTGGTGGCCACAGCAAAGGGTTCACATTTAGAAGGTCAGGAAGTGGTCGCTTCATACAGGGCTGCCTTAAATTATTTCAGCTGCACTGAGGCATTTCAGAGTAAGACCAAATAAACATTTGCATCTAAAAAAGGCAAAACAGGGTCATTGGAAATAGAGAAGAAAGCCTCTCCCAGATCCGGCGGGTGTGGCCAGACTCCAGAGGAGGGTGCGGGGTTTGCAGGGTTTGCTTGGTTTGCGTGTTTGCCAAGGCACAGAGCCCAGCCCTGCTTGAGGAGGGAAGTGTTTTCTTTTAAATAAAATGTGAGCCAATCTAAGTTTCCTTCCCCTGACTTGCTCTGGGGTCACCGCAGGCCCCCTGCAGCTATCCAGATCACATCTTTAAAGGGCTTGCTTCTCGTGACTGTGACCCACTTGATGTTGTCAGCCAGCTGGGTCAGGGCGTTGGGGGAGGAGAGGCGGTTCCCCCCCGGGCCGCCCACTGCGTCCTCCCCACGTGTCCGACGCACCCTCAGGAGCCCTGCTTCTTTCTCCTCAAGAGTCCAGACTGGCATGTGGGGTGGGCACCCTGTTCCTGTCTTTTCTCCTAGCACTCATGCCCCAGGGGCTTATATCCCATCATCTAAATTAAGCCCCAAGGGAGGGGCATCAGCTACATTCTGTGTGTCGTCCCCACAGGCCCACTGCAGCATTTCCACTGATTGCTGAGCTCCTGGACGACAGCAGGGACCATCCACACCCTGGCCGCACTTGATGGCCAGGTGCTGTCACACAGGCAGCCCTTGGTGTCTAAGTGACCCACCATCGGAAGGTCACAGCAGTTTTGTCTTGGAGGAAGGTCTATGCTTTTGAAATGACTAGTCTCAAACCAGAGCCGCTCCTGCCTGGAATGCCACATCGGCAAGGTGAAACCTGGGTAAGTTTTGTGTGCCTGTAAATACTCCACGTGACCAGAATATCCCATCAGCCAGTCCCCAGACGCCAAGCTGACTCTGGGCTCTGTACTGAAACTTCCTGCTCTTTGCTCTTTATCCTATAAAAGCTTCTTGCCCTCTGCCCCATTTTGTGGTTCTACAGACCTCTGGGAACAGAGACTGCCTGCCTCTTCAAGTGTTGAGTAAAGTTTGTTTGTATCACCTAAATTGTCTTTAGCTTAATTTTTCACAGTACGACTCCCCCACCCCCGCCTCCTCCCTACCCTCCACTCAGCCACCAGAGCCCTTGCCCATTCATTCATTCAGTCACTCATTCAGCCATAGTTCACACTGGGTTCAAGGTGGCTGATCACACACATCCAGTTACCTTTTCCCTCTCCCCAGGTCTTCTGAAAGAGAACAGGAAATATAAAAGGAAATACTTAGGAGCCCTGGAAAATTAGGAAAAGTGTCACCAGCAGGCTAGAACATGGGAGAATTTCTGGAAGATAGAAAGCAGATGAGATGAGATTAGTGGTGAAACTCAGCAGTGCTGAGGCACCCCCGGTGCTGAGCAGGTGGGAGGCCACGCTAGACACATCCAGGCTAGAAATTGGGAGGAGTGGGAGCAGTCATGGACACTGATGCAGTAATTAAAGTGCTACCTGAGCAGCTGAGACAGTGCCCCTTTAGTCCCCAGGGAAATGTCAAAGTGTAGCTTTAAAACTCAAGACAGAGCTGGGAGGGGTGCCTCAGAGAGAGAAGCAGGACCCTGACTGGTAACCGTAGCCAAGGTGAGGTCAGCGGCCCCCAGGTCAGAGGCCCAGTAAGGCACCCTATCCTTGCATATGGCCGCCTATCTCCACAGCCCAAGCGCCCAGGGGTGCCAGGGGTGCTGTGCTCGGAGGGGAGCCCCCTCCACTGCCCTTCCATAAGGAAGGGAGGCTTACCTGTGTCCCAGGAACACTTTACACAGCGAGAGTGATCCGTCAGGACCCAAGCGCACTGTGTCAGGCCTCCTTTACCTTGTTAACAATGCTTTAGGGCCCCAGAGAGCTTTTATTTGTGTGGGACAAACCTACTGATATTTACTGTAATAGAAGTTAAAATGGGGATGTTTTCAATATTCATTTATCTTAAAATGATACTAAAGCCATCACATGTTAACACAAATAACATTTATGAAAATTGCTATCTTTGTCTAAAAATAGTTTGTTTAATAGAAGAGGGACATTGTTTTATATTTTTGAACATCTTGCAAATGTTTGGCTGAATCGACAGCTGGATTCTTTTATCTGCTTCAGGTTTCAGTCTGTTGTGGTATCACACATCACGTAGACTCTGCAAAATTCTGCTGAACACTCAGGGCAGACAAACGTCTTTACATTCCTATTAAATAGTTTTCACTTTGTGGGACCCCCATGAAAGGCTCTCAGGAACCCCCTGGGGTCCACAGACCTCACTTTGAGAACCACTGTACTGACACTTTTTTAGAAATGAGATGAACCACGAGTCCCCATACATGGACAGTAACCAACAGCTGCTGAGAAAGAACCAGAGAGAAACCTGGAAAAAGCAGGAAAATGCAGGAATCAGAAGAAGACATTAAAATAAGCATAGTAAATATCTTCTGAGAGGTTCAACAGGATATAAGAATCAGTCAGAGAGCAAGTGGGCACAGAGCAAACACAAAAATCAATACTTTTCCTATATACTATAAATAAACAGGTAAGGTATGTCCTTTGCAATGGCAACAAAAATCGTAAATAATCTACGTACAGACCTAATCGAAATTTTGGAGGACCTACAGGAAGAAAGATTTAAAAAATTGTATTGAAGGGCATAAACAGAGATACAGTGTTTCCTGCAGTGTTACACACATGGCAGTTATGGGAGCTGCTCAGTGTATTGGGCTGAGGTGCATTTCTGTCACAAGTATCAAGAGTTGTAACTAATACATTCTCTACGATGAAAGCTGCCCCAAACAAATGAGGAGAAAAGGGATTAGCCACATGAAAATATCTGCAACACAAAAACAGTCTAAAGGCTGATATACTTAATATACAAAATTCCTGGAGAGTTATATGAAGAAGATAAAGAGCCTGTGTGTGTGTGTGTTTGTGCATGTATCTGTGTGTGTGAGTAAGAGAGAGGAAAGAGTGATTTTAAAGAGTTGTTTCATGTGATGGTGGGATCTCCAGGTAGGCCAGTAGGCTGGGGATCCAAGGAAGGAGCTGGTGCTGTGGGTCGAGTCTGAAGGCAGCCCACTGGCCGAATCCCTTCTTGCTCAGATGTCTCTTTTTCCTTGAGGCCTTCAACTGATTGGATAAGGCCCACCCACATTATGGTGGGTCATCTACTTTACTCAGTCTCCTAACTTAAGTGTTAATCTCATTGAAAAAAATTACTTCATGGAAACATCTAGAATAATGTTTAATAACCAAATATCTGGCACTGTGGTCCAGCTAAATTGACACTTAAATTAACTCTCAGAGTTTCTTTCTCAGATTCCAGTTCTGAGATGAGAGCTGCCCTGCCCCTCACGGCCACTCAGGGACCCAGACACCTTCTCTCATGACGCTCACTGCTCCACCACAGCCATACTCAGCAGCCTGAAGGGGACACGCCTGCTCTCTGCAGGGCCAGGTACAGAAGTGGCCTCTGCCCCACATTGCCTCATACTCTCTTGGTGAAGACTGCATCACGGAGACACCTAAGGGCAAGGCAGGCTGGGAAATGGCAGTCCTGCTCAGCACCCTCCACCCAGCTACAGGTCTATTATCCTGTAAGAAAGCTAGAATGGATTTTATTTGAAGCGAGCAGTTTCCATCCCCACCTCCCTATTTAATAAGGAAATCTAAATCACCTCCACGAAATACTTTCCTCTTCCTTGTTTTCTTTTTCCTATCAGATTGGCCAAACTTTTAAAATCTGCAAATAACCAGCTGTATGTATCAGTCACAAGGATTCTTAATCTATAGCAACAACTGCTTTAAGTAAAAAAGGATTTTATTATGGAGGAAGCTCCTAGAATCTTGATGCTTAAGGAAGACTGGGGAAATGGGCAGGGGTCAGGCTTGCTCAGACACTGTGGCCACCACAGGGCACTGATGCCACAGCTGCACAAGGCCACAGCCAGGCAAGGAATGCCATTGGCACAACTGCTGCACACCCTCTTATACCTGGCTCTGGAGGGTCCTAGTGGCAGTGGAGGCAGGGCTCGGGGCAGGAAGGAGCACAGCCCACGTGTCACCATGTCCGCTTCCAGGGCCTGTGCGGGGCTCTTTCCCCGACCTGAAGGAATCCCTCTTCCTCACCCCACGGCCAGAGTGAGGGCAAGCGTGCTTGTTTTTGTGATGGGGAAAGTTAAGTGTGGAGCTTGGTCCTGCAGGCTGGGTGCAAGGATCCACTGTTACCGAGCTTTTTGCTAATATCTATCAAATCCCCAAATGCACAGACCCAGCAGTTTCTCTTCTGGGAATCTTCCATGTGTTGCAGAAAAGAACACATTCTTGGTGGAAAAGTAGTGAGTGGAAATTTATGCATAGAGAAGTGGGAGGGCCTAGCTGTTAACCTGACAACTCTGGAGCCTCAGACATGACTCTACCACTTGGTACCTGTGTGCTTCTGGGCAGACTGCTTAAGCTCTCTGCCCCAGGCTTCTCACCTGAAAATGGGGATGATAGTAAAAAGCCTGTTTCCTGAGGATTAAGTGAATTAATATATGCAAAGTGCTCAGGCCCAGCGTTTTGGCATTTGGTGAACACTCTTTATTAGCTCTTCTTATGCGTTGACCTTGTTTCTGCACAAAACTTATTAATATGCATCCATGCATGTTGATATGTGCACAGAACTCTTCACACTCAACTATTAACAGTGGTTACCTGGAAGGGGGGGAGGTAGGTGCATATGGTGGAAGGGGGCGAATACAGGTGTCATCTTATGATGGGCCTATTTATGAATTCTTTTAATTTTCTCTAATAAGTACTAACTCATGTAGGTAGGTAATAGGTCATAGGTATACAGACTGGAGGACTCTGCCAGGTGTGATTCTGGGTTTCGGGCACCCAGGGGTTGGTGTTGGGGGTGACAGGCACCTCCCAGCGCAGACCTGCGTGACATATAGCAAGCACCGCTCTCCCCCCCTTCCCTCTGCTTCTGCTGCGCAAGGTAGGGGGTGAACAGCGGCCTCACCTAAAGATGCATAGCCTTCGGGAAATTTCAGGGTTCATGAACTTAGCTTAGTGAGAACATCAGCCTAGAAGCTGTGGGCAGAAATGGGGCTCGCTGAAAAAAGGCAGGGGGTGGGTATCAGGCAGAGGGTGGGGAGGTTTGGTAGCGCCTGAGCCCCAGACTCCGTGGGCGCGGGAGGCAGATGCAAGACGCAGCCATTTCAACACTTCCTCTGGGGTTGGCCTGGGCCCAGGAAAGGGGCAGGGGTGCGGCCTCCACCCTCCTCCCCTCCCTCTCTCCAGCTGCCCCCCTTTCCTTCCTCCCTCCCTCTCCCCTCCGCCCCCTCCCCCTCCCCCTCTGCCCCTCCCCCTACTCCTCTGCCCCTTCCCTCCGCCCCCTTGCTCCCCCTCTCCTAGGTCCCTCGCCCCGCCCTCCTCCTCCCCCCGCGGCCCTGCCCCTCCCTTCCCCTCGCTGCTCCCTCACCAGTTCCCCCGGGCCCTGCCCCTCCCCTCCCCTCCCCTCGCTCCGCCCTCCCCACTTCCCCCGGGCCGTGCCCCTCCCCTGAGCCGCGCCGGCTCCCACCCCAGCCCCGCCCAGCGGCTCGCACCTGCTGGGCAGCCGCCGCGTTATTCTAGGCCCGGGGCGGGGCTGGCGGGAGGGAAAGTGGGTCGCCGCGGGCGCCTGCAGGCTGCTGTGCTTGGAAAGGCTCCCGCCGTCCCGTGGGCCTCTCCCGGCGCAGGAACCTGGGGCGCCCCGCGGGAACGGGGGCCCCCGGCAGCGCAAAACCCGGCTCTGCTCCTCCTGCCCCGAGCCCTGCCTCCACCTCCGCCGCGCCCACGACGCCCTCCCTGCTGCGCCCCGGCTCGCTCCGGCGGCGCCCTCCTCCTCCGGGATGCCGTCCCCGCCGCTCCACCCTGCCCCCTAGTGTCAGCTCCGGGCCTCCGCATCCTGCAGCCCCCGGCTTGGAGCCCACCTTCTAGGAACTTTCTCTAACAACCTGGCCCAGGTGCTCTGACCGCAGAGCACTGCCGGTCTGCTTGGGTGTGAGGGGCCCTGGCTCCGCTCCTGGGAAGGGACTGATGCCAGGACGCCCCGACGCCTCTCTGCACCTGTGGCAGCCCTGCTGACGGGACCCTGCTGCCTACGTTATGCCCACCTTGCACCCTAGCAGCCCTGGGATGGCTGCTCCCGTGGGCTATGCCGCAAGCCCAGCTGCAGATACAGGTCAGTGTCCTGGTGCAGGGACTGGCCAGGGAGCATGAAGGTTCAGGGCCTTCCAGCATCAGACCTGGGTCTCTCCTGACAGTAAGCTCCCACTCCTGACAGTAAGCAGGCAGTGCCAGGGGCCCAGGGCCGAGACCTTGTACTGCAGGGTCTTGTCCTAGACACCCATGAACTACACAGGTGGGCCTCGGGGCCTCTACTGTCCCCTAACATACTCTGAGCCCTCCTGCTTTGGAGCTCCTGCTGGTGCTGGAACTTCTTCCCACAAAGCCCTACCTGTTAGTCACTGACCGGAGTTTCGCCTCATCCCAGAAGCTCTCTGAGGCTGTGACCAGAATGCTTCTCCACCCCTGGTTCTCATGGCACAGCTGCCCTTCAGGGACCATGCCCACCACTGACCTGTCTGCTGCCTGAGAGGCCGGCCTCTGGGAATGCTGAGGCTGAGCAGAGCTTGTCATCTCGGAAATGGGGGGCTTGGAGGGGCTCAGGGGCTGCCACGGGGGCTCCAGGTTTGAGAAGCTTTCACCATGGGAAGCCTGCATCACCCGCATCACGTTCAGGCACATCCGTGTGTGTATTCAGCGGCGGCACATCCCACGCTGGAGTCTGGGGCCGCCCCTGCATTAGTCTGAATGCAGATCCGTGGAGCTGGGCTGGCTGGCTGGCGTTTGATCCCCCTCCCCACCCTCTGGCTTGTAGAAGGGCTGACATTATCTCATGGGCCCTCATATGTCCTCAGAAGGACAGCCGGACGCTTGGCAGTCTCTCACGGTGCGAGGACATGGTGGTGGTGGTAGGCAGTGGTAGGGGTCTCGAGGGAATAAGGGAGAGTTGGGAGAGGACACTGCCAAAAAGTGATAGTTTTCAGCGCCTGGGAAGAACATGCTCTGGGGAGGAAGGAGCTCTGGGAATGCGAGTCAGATGCTGCTCTCCGGGGCAGCCAGGCCTGGGGGACACCCTTTCCCGCTTCATAGCTATCCTTGGGGTGGGGACAAGGGGCTCCCACCAGGCCTCCCCAGGAAGACCCTCAGCCAGTCTTTACTGAGGTCAGCCAAGCATGGGGACTCCTCAGAGTGAGAAGGGCCTTAAACCTATTGGGCCCAGACCTCCTAACCTCCTCACTCTTCCACCTGCCGACCCCTTGTTTTGAAAACTTCCATATTAAATAAATGCAGTTGAATAAGAAAAATCTATGTGACTTCTGAGCATGACCCGTAGAAAGTTGGGCACAGGTCCAGAGCCTGCTCAGAGAGGGGAAACTGGGGGCTTCCCTCTAAGGGTACTTCCACAGATTGCACACCTGCGTGGCTGGACTTGAACACGGTTTGCCTCTAAAGCAAGGGTTGCTGGTTCCTGCCAATTCCTACCCTCGGTGACAACACAGGCCTCACGTAGCTCTGCCAGCTAGCTCTAAGGCTCTAGGACTTCAGAAAAAATCATCAAACACAAACACAGCCCTGTAGATCTCTTAACAAACACCACTCAAGAGAAGCAAGGGGGGTTGCGGTTTCCCATTTGGTCATGAGAAAGATTTCAATTTAGTTCAGCTTTGTTTTTATTTGACTTTTTGGTCACAGGCCCAGTTATCACCTTTTAGAATCTTCCTTCCTGCCCATAAACTCTGGCTGAGTTCTAAGGTTCAGAAGTTCTCAGGGAAACCAACACTGGATAATAAGACCTGTAAGGGCCCTTTTCATGAAGCAACCCTCCTTTAATGTCTGTGGCTGGGCGCAGTGTGTGGCTTCATGTAGCAATGTCTGATTAAAAGATGCCCAACATATCCTGAGGCGATAGACAACTAATTGCCATGCTTAATTTTCTCATGTGATGATTAATGAAAGCTTTGCTCAATTTGTGCGTGTGGGAAAGAGACAATGTTAATATATTTGGACTTGAAAGCTTCACAGCATTGCTGTCCGACGCAGTGTGACACAACCCTGGCTATCACTACCATGGTTACTACACATCTTTGGAAACAGCACAGGCTTTGGGTGTGAGTGCACAGAGGGAAAAGGCTGTCTGTTATGTAACCTAACACACATCCCTGGCAGGACAAATATTTCTTCCCCAAATTCTAGGTAAATGACACACTCCATAAATGAAAATCATTTGTCATTAAAGATCTCACTATTGCTAATGTCTTAGACCTGCCATGAGGCTTTTCTCAAGTAAGAGAAGAAAATATTCCTACCTCCACTACCTCTGCTACGGAACTTTCCGGCCTCTGACCATGCGGGGGATGGAAAGGGCCTGGCGGAGGAGCAGGAGCTGCTCAGTGGTGAACTGGGCTGTGACTTGGCTGTCACATTATAGACTCACTGTACTTTGGGTCTCACTTGCTTTATATGTTAATGGAAAGAAAAATAATTTTCCTTCCTTCTTGCCCGACTTCCTCCTTTTCTCTTCCCCTCCATCTTTTCCTTTCCTTCTTTCCCTTTAATTTTTTGGAGGGAATTTTATTTTCTGGAAATATTCCGTTTCAAACACACCCAATGTAGAGAGTATAGTAAAATGAGCCCTCATGTACTCCTCACTAGCTTCGATAATTAGTAACCGATCTTGTTTCACCTGTAACTCCCCTTACCCCACTGCCAACTTGTTTTGAAGCAAATCTCTAAACATCAGTAATTTCATCTGTAAATATTTCCAAATTATATTACTCATGTACTGCTATTATCTAGTTGCTTGAAACAGCAATAACCTACTAGATCATGATTCTACAGGCCTACAGTTTGGGCCGGGACCAGCTGAGCAGTTCTTCCGTTGGTTCTGTCTGGCTCTCTCCTACAGATGCAAATAGCTAGTGACTTGGTTGGGGCTGGACAGTCTTTAATGTCCTTGCTCACTTGTCCGGCAGTTGGCCAAGGGCCTCAGTTGTCCACACGGCCTCTCCAGAAGGCTAGCTTGGTCTTGCTTCCGTGGTGGCAGCATTCCAAGAATTTCCGATGGCAAGAGAGGACAAGCCCCAGTGAACAAGTACTTTTCAGGCCTCTGCTTGTGTCCTGTTTGCTCATGTCCCATTTGCCAAAACAAGTCATGCAGCCAAGCCCAGAATCAATGTGGAAGGGGCATAGAAATGTGCAAGGACAAAGAAACAGGGGGCATAATTCACTGGGGGCCATTACTGCAGCAATCTGCCACAGAATATATTCCTAAAACATAAGCATCCGTACTAATAACATAGCTATGATACTGTTATCATAGCCTACAAAATTAACTACAAATCTTAATATTGACAATATCCATTCACTATCTAGAGTTCCCCCATTGTCACGTAAATATTTCTGCTTTTGTTGTAGTTACTTGTTTATAGTTGGTTGGTTTGAAACAAATGAGTCCACATGTTGCATTTGGATACATCTCTTAAGTCTCTTTAAATCTATAGAGTCTTTCTTCTTTCTCCCTTTTGAATGTTACCATACCTTACTGAAGAAACTAGGCTGTTTATCCTGAAGAATTTCCCACATTCCAGATTGTAATATTTTTTGTGTTCCCTAGTACTATTTACCATGTTCCTCTTTCCTCTGTACTTTCTGAGAGATCTAGGTAGTTAGATCAAAAGAACCCATCATATTCCAATGTAGATTTCTTGGCAACGTTTCATAGGCAATGTTAGGCATTTTCTCCAACAAATGCATAATGTCTAGTTGTATCTCTCTCAGTGATATTCCGATTATCCAGAGGATTCAGGCATTTTCAACCTGACTGACTCATCAGCTTTTCATTCAGTGGTTTTAGTCAGTAATGATAATGGCCTTCATCCATTATTTCATTAGGGATTACAATGTGGGGTTTTCTAATTCTATTCTATCATTCCTATGTATGTATTAGCTCATCAGCAATTTGGTTTTGTTTTACTCAGGTATTATTATAAATGCATGTTTGTTTCATATTTGAAATGTTTGAGAACACTGCAGGTTTAATTCATCTCTAACCTGTCCCATCTTTGGGTAATGAAGCTCTTCAAACTACCTCCTGAATTCTTTCCACCCACTCCTATGGGTTTTTGAAAGCTTTCTTGTTTTTCATAGTTCATGCTGTCCATTTCCTGCCCTGGGCCAAGAATTAGGCATTTTTCCAAGGAGCTCAGATCCCTTCCAGTGGTAAATGCAAGTTTCAGCTTAGCCAGCCTGGGCACTAGGAATGGGGCTAGGTGAGCTGATTGCTATTTAACTGGTCATTGTTTTGACTTCTTGGAGAATAACAGTTTCAGAACTAACAGAATAATAACTTCAGAGCAATAAATGCCAGTGTTAGTATTAATAATGTGATTAGTGGAAGGGAAATTAAAAAAAATTTTTTTTTTTTGCAGTTAATTTTGTCCTTAGGATGCATCTCACTAGCTATGTGGAACCCAACCGAACAGTCCTCAAAACAGTTTTTCTCATTATCATCTAGTTATTAACCTGATACACAGGTTGATTTCTTTCATTTTGCTTTTGACTTCTCAAGATTGCCTTCTATTTTATTTTGGATTAATCTGCTTTATAATTATTTAAGACATATACAGGATTTTGGAATATAGTCAAAACTGTAAAACAAAATATAGTCCTAAAAGTCTACATTCTGTTCCTGTCCCCTCCACCCCGGCCCCTCCCTTCTGCACAGCACCTTCCTTTTCTCACCTGAGAGTCTGTCCCAGCAGCCCTTTAAAACAGTCTTCTTCATTATTTCTTACAAATGCCCAGCAGTTCATTATGTGGATCATGAGAGTTAGAATAGGAATATTTATTCTGTGGATTGTTACTCATTCATGAGTCTTGAGATATAATTGAAATCAGCACTGTCTAAATTTAAAGTGCCTAGCATAATGATTTTACTTACTATACCCTGAAATGATTATCACAGTAAGCTTCATTAACATCCATCATCTCATATAGATAACAAAGAAAAAAATTTTATTCTTGTGATTTGAACTCTTAGGATCTACTCTTATAACTTTCCTGTTTACCATACAGCAGTGTTAACTAGAGTCATTGTGTTATTCATTATATCCCTCATTCATGCATTTTGAAAACATTTTAATAAAACATTTTGTTCCCTGTGATTCCAAAAGCACAGGGAACAAAAGAAAAAGTAGATAAATTGGACTATATCAAATTTTAAAACTTCTGTGTTTCAAAGGACACACTCAAGGTGAAAAAGCAGCCCACAGAATGGGAATAAATATTTCCAAATTATATATCTGATAAAGGGGTAATATATAGAATATACAAAGAGTTCCTACTACTAATCAACAACAACAAAAAACAAACAATCAGATTAAAATGTGGGCAAAGGACTCAAATAGACATTTCTCCAAAGAAAATATGAAAATGGTTAATAAGCATGTGGGAACATTTTCAACATCACTGATTCCTAGGGAAGTGCAAATAAAAACCACCAGAGATGTCACTTCACATATTAGGATGGTTAACATCAATGAAACAGAAAATAATAAGTTTTGATGAGGATGAGGAGAAACTGGAACCTTTGTGCAGTGTCGGTTGGATGTAAAGTGGTACAGCTGCTGTAATAGGCAGAATGAGAGGGTTAGCATCGCTTGTGTGTAACCACTGTTTAGTTTTATATGTGTGTATATACTCTTTTACAGTGTAAAATGAATTTATCATCAAAAAACTTTTACAAACTCTGGATTCATTAATCCCAGTGGTTCCTTCTATAATGCTGTAATTCGTGTGCTATTTAGAGAAACATGTCCTTGGCTTTGGGGACAAGCCCACATCTTCCCAACGGTGAGGCTCTCAGACATCAGCAGCTCCCCTTCCCTGGCATTCACCCGTTTCTAAGGCAGGTGACAGTAAAAGCAACAAGACCTAAAGAGCCCACTCTCTGCTGGGACAGTCCCTCTCTGGTCAGTGGTTTTATCTTAACACCTAGGCCTATCTTCTTCTGGAAGGTCCCTACTGGAGCTACTACCATCTGAGCATTGCCAGAGAGCCCTGGGCAGCCAGCAGCATTCGCCCTCAGAAACCCCACCCAGAGCTCCTGTGGTAGACACAGTGTCTGCTGACTGATTTGAGGTATTTTCAGGGTACCAAACCATTTATGGAGGCTTACTCACTCCCATGGAATAGTTTCCACAAAGAGCCTTCAGAAGTTATAACTTTGAGAGACGCCTATCCCCACATCATCACCTTTCTTGTATCAGACCTGTCAGGAGACCGGCACCTCCAAGGAGTGATCAGAACGGGTTCAGCTGTTCTTTTTCCTGCGATTGGTTCAGGGTGGACATATGACCCAGAGACCCAGAAGAGAATTTTGGGAAATGGTTTCCCACTGTAATGAGAAAAGCATGCCATTTCCTTCCTGCAGGGGCCCTATGGAGGGTAAAGTAGCTCCACTTTAA